TGCAATTGTTGAGGCAACTTAGATATGTCTGATTACAGTTGGAATATTCAAGATCCATTGTGAGTGATGTTTAAAGCTTCAACTGTCTTTATGGTTGGTAAAACTTGTCAAGTCTGTCAGTCTGAGTGTCATGTGTGAGTCCTTGTGTTTGTACAACCGCTTTCATTTAGACCCACTAAATATATATATAATGTTATGGTAAATATCATAAACACACATAGGCATGGCTAGGTTTATTACAAAGTGCTGAAAAGGGTACGCTTAATACTGTAGTCCACAAAACATGTAGCTATGCTATTTTTATTTGGTCCCCCGTCATACGAGTCCGTTTTCTCTCACATCAGGACGCCTGGGTCCTCCGTTTTCTCTCTTAATCTTAGAGTGCACCAGAAACTTTACTATTTGTAGTAATGCCACAGAATTTGAAATTGCAACCCCAATTGTAACTGGTGTTGCAATTGTTCAGGCAACTAGATATGTCTGATTACAGCAAATGTGTTATTGTCAATTTGTAGGTGAAAGAATTTATCCTCAATAGGTGTAGGTTAACATTTCACCTGTAGGCAAATGCTTAAAAAAGCCTAAGTAAGGAAGCATATTCCTTTAACTCATAATATCTGACCAGTATGGGGAGGATCATCATGTCTCCGTCAGGGGGTTGTGGAGTGGTGGTCCAGCAGGCGTCACTTTTTTGGGGGGGGGCGGGGGCACGGACGTATATATATAATATATATATATATATATATATAATATATATATATATATATATATATATATATATATATATATATATATATATATATATATATATATATATATATATATATATATATATATATATACAGTAACCCCTCCGTTAACAAACTCAATCCGTTCCAGAAGGTCGTTCGTTAACCGAAAAGTTCGTTAACCGAAAAGTTCGTTAACCGAAACCATTGTTTCAATGGGTTTTTGGGTAATTGGTTCCAGCTCACCGAAAATTTCCTAACTTCAACAAAAATGGTAGAAAAATTTACTTACTTTGAGGTGTGTATGTAGAAGGCTCCTGGATGATGATGATGATGTGCATTTGAAGTGGGAGGTGGAGGAGGAGAAGGGAGAAGAGAAGGAAGTGGAGGTGGAGGAGAAGCATTTTACTGCTTCTTGGAAGGTGAGTCACCTTCCATGAAAATGTCAGGAACCTCTGGACTGACAGATTCTCCACCATGAACATCCTCTCTCCTTCTTGAAGTGGAAGGCTGAGGGCTAGCATCATCCTCTCTCCTTGAAGTGGAAGGCTGAGGGCTAGCATCTTGTTCCCTCTGCCTTTTACTGAAGAAAGTGTCAATTGTGGTCTGTGGGGCATCTGTCCTCCTCACCATTAACTTATGTTTAAAGAAGGAGACCACCGAGTCCTCAACATGACACAAAGCTAGTTCAGTTTTTTCCACTTCTGGGTGCTTTGAAGCCAGTTCCCTGAACTTCTCCCAGTGGTAAATCACATCTTTCAACTGTGTAGCTGACATATGGTCATCACTTTCAATTTCCTCCTCACCACTGTCAGCCTCTACCCGTAACATCTCATCCAGTTCCTTCAAGTCATTAGGAGTAAGTTCCTCCTCATGAGACATCACAAGCTCTTCCACATCCTTCTCCTCCACTTCAAGACCCAATGACTGACCAATGGACACAATCTCCTGGTCCAACTCTGTGTCATCCTCAAATCCCTCAAAATCATGGACTACTGATGGCCACAGTGCTTTCCATGAAGAATTGAGGGTGCTATTGGAGACTTCTTGCCATGATGACACAATCAATTTTACAGCCTCCAGGACGTTGAATTGTGTCTTCCAGAACTGTTTCAGTGTTAGTTCAGGATCAATGGAAGTTGCCTGATGACACCTCCTAAACATTTTCTTCATGTACAACTTCTTGAAGTTGCTTATCACATTCTGGTCCATTGGCTGTATGAGTGATGTAGTGTTTGGAGGCAAAAACAACACTTTCACAAAGTCAAATTTATACTCCAAATTTCTGGCAAGGTCAGGGTCATGACCAGGAGCATTATCCATGAGGAGAAGAGCCTTTACAGGAAGTTTATTGGTGGTTAGGTAGCTCTTGACAGAGGGGCAAAACACATCAATAGCCCATTCATTAAAGAACTGTCTTGTCACCCATGCCTTACGGTTGGACTTCCAATAAACTCCAAGCATTGTTCTTACCACTTTCTGTTGCTTGAACACCCTGGGGTTTTCAGAGTGGTAGACAAGCATAGGCTTCAGTCGGAAATCCCCTGAAGCATTGGCACCAAGCAATAGAGTGAGACGGTCTTTCATGGGTTTATGCCCAGGTAAAGAGGCTTCAACCTTGGTGATGAATGTTCTTTTGGGCATCTTTTTCCAGAACAGCCCAGTTTCGTCAACATTGAAAACTTGCTGTGGAAGATAATTTTCTTCTTCCATCAGTTTTTTAAATTCAATTAAAAACTTTGCTGCCCCTTCTTTATCAGCACTAGCAGCTTCACCATGCCTAACAACACTTAAAATGTCACTTCTTTTCTTAAATTTTTTGAACCAGCCTTTGCTAGCCCGAAAATCTTCAAATTCTGTTCCTGAAGAACTAGGTTGATCTGTCTTTAAATGTTCATAAATCTCCCTGGCTCTTTCACAAATGAAATCACCAGAAACTGAATCACCTTTCATCTGTTTTTCCCTAATCCAGATGATAAGTAACCTCTCAGTTTCTACGATTAGGGATCTACTTTTAAACACTCTTGTAGATTTGTCTCTCACGTTCACTTCCTTAAATTTGTCTTTTTGTGCAAGAATTGTCGACACAGTTGATGCCGACATGCCATATTCTTTGCATAGCGCATTTGATTTAATACCTTGTTCGTGTTTTTTTATTATTTCCTGCTTCATTTGGATTGAAATCACTTTTCTTGATCTCTTAGGCCCCATGCTGGATTCAAACAATGGCAACACGTATTTTTCAAAGTTAAACTAGCTGTAAATAAAGAATATTTTCTTTAAAATAACACTGCACTGCACTATATATTGTCAATATGTAAAATAATTTTCAAAATGACCAATAATTTGCTTGGAAACACAGAAAAAAAGCGTTTAGTTGAAGAGAGTCTCAAGCAAGATGTTACCTCCAATGAAAACAGAGAGAGACTGACGCCTGTTTGCTGTGTTAAGAGGCTGGATGCCGCGCATTAAACTAGTCACTTTACCTTCAATTATGTTCAATAATTGTTAAAATGACTAAAAAAGTTAATATTAAACTTTTAAAATAATTGAATAGTATAAACTTCTTGATATTTACAAAAATAGTAAGGAATTTAAGCCCTAGAACCGATTAATGTATTGGCGGACTGATACTAAAGCTGGTTGCCCGGTCAGTGCAAGCGAAAACATGTTGAGGTCGGTTCGTAAGAAGTTCGTTAAGCGAAATTTTTTTCCTTAAACGAATTGAAGATCCTTATGGAAGGCAGTTCGTTAATCGAAATTACGTTAACCGAGGTGTTCGTTAAACGAGGGGTCACTGTATATATATATATATATATGTATGTATGTATGTATGTATGTATGTGTGTGTGTATGTATGTATGTATGTATGTATGTATATATATATATATATATATAATATATATATGTATATATATATATATATATATATATATATATATATATATATATATATATATATATATATATATATATAATATATATATATATATGTATATATATATATATATATATATATACATATATACATATACATATATATATATATATATATATATATATATATATATATATATATATATATATATATATATATATATATATATATATATATATATATATATATATATATATATATATATATATATATATATATATACATACATATATATATATATATACATATACATATACATATATATACATATACATATATATACATATACATATATATACATATACCGGTACATATACTCAGCACCTCAACCCGCCAGGATTCAAACCCACGGCCCTTAGGGCAATTATTTCTTTTCCCAATATGTATTGTGTGCATCTAGCGGAGTAAAAATAAATGAAGTTACATATATCAACCCAAAAATACTAGTTGGAAAACAACTATAACACCTCACAGCTTGGCACAGCAGACGCCGTGGACTGGGTCCATTTTAGCAGCCGGGGAGTAAACACAACATACGGACTGAGAGAGAGAGAGAGACCAGATAGGAATTTGCCACATCCAGATGTCTGTCTGGTCCAACCAAAATCCGGATCTGAGAGGTCCGGAAGTGCAAGGGTTTACTGTACATTGTATTATTGTACAGGTCCACCACCGATTTTCTGTCAACCTTGGTTCCAAAGCCTTGCCGGTTTATCCATTTTGCCGGACCAACCGAGGTCAGGTATTAATAATTCAACACTACACCTCTGACCCAATAATTATACACCTCCTGTGTCTCTAAAGCACCATGGACTGCTAGAAACTTAAATTAACCCTTTCACCGCATGTCACACACTTGCCATTTTATTCAGCTTAGGGTAACCTCCTGCTGTGAAAGGGTTAAACAAATATTAAATGTAAATTAAATGTGAAAAACCCATAATTTTGAGCAACATTACTGTACACACGTTGTACTCAAATGTACTACATCAGACAAAAAATTGTATCTTGTGCAAACTATGTGATGCTTTTCTCAAATTAATCACTATCTTACAAGGAATCCAGCAATGTCATTTATATTTTGCTAAGTCTAGTCAGCTACATTTTATAAGATAAAAACTTTAATCCTAAAACTACCTTCACCCTGCCTGGGTGGGAAGTTAAGAGCCCTCTCATAATTTTGTCCAGACTGAAGGAGGTGCAGGACCATCAGATCCCAGATAATTGGTGGTGTACCTGTACTTAGAAGCTTATTTCTTTAATTAGGGGTATGTAGTATGTTATAACTAGCTCTCTTTGTTTCAGGTTTTGACATATATTATTTGCCTTTACAGGTATTTTGAGAGAGATGTTAAGTGTGTGCAGGAGTTCTTCAAGCGGAGGTTTGGCTATGAGAGCGAATTGTGTCCAGAGTTTGAACGAGATATTCAGTGAGTATATTGCAGTTTTCTTCCTTTGTACAGTCAACTCCTATTACCATGATAATGCATCCTGATGCAGTAATTACCACAATATGTCTGACTCCATAACTTCTGAACCCATATTGTATTGAAAAAAAAAAAAGGGTTGTTCTCTGAAACTGGGAAAATTTTGGTTGCTTTCCATAGATAATACCCCTATTCTATCTCCTAGTTAGTGTTGAGTGAATGAACCTATAGAACACCAGATGCACACTGCCTGCCCTATCTCAGTTAGCCAGTAGCTCATTAAAAATATATATGATGTAAACTGAGATCTTAGTGATCGTAATGTTTGATTGCATAAATAAGTTGTGAAAAAGATTCTTGAGTGTTGGTTGGACAAGTCAGATCAAGGAGCTCTGCTTGTACTCTGGGCTTATGCAAATAGGGCTTATTAAGGCCCTCATGATTCAGAATTGCTGATCACCACTCCAAGTACAGTAAAGTATCTGTCAGCTTATCATAAAATCAATATATCATAGACAGCATGCCTTAGGTTCTCAAAATGGCTACGAATCGCCAAATCCGCAAATAACATTTGTTGGGGGGGGGGGGTGTACATTTTTTACTTGTGTATAAAGAAATGTATATTCCCTTTGTGTTTTTCCTTAGAAGAATTATTTGGACGTAGTGTGCCACAAAATTATAAACTACTGAAACTTTTAGATCTCCATATTCTGAGCATTTTGAACCCCATTTTTGCCATTTGGAAATGGAAAATAGCGACAAAATTTAATTTAATTGATTTCACGTACTTTTCAGTCTTCATCTCTTTGAAGAGTTGTTATCTGCATGAAGCCAAGGTAATTATGAGTGTGCGCAATGTTGACTGACGTCATCCAGTCATGACCAATGATGTATCGATCTCATCACGTGATTTTTTTTCGGCCAATCACATTTGAATTTTTTCAAAGGGAGCAGCATGGGTACGGATTTGAATTTTACTCACCAGTCTGACAATGGCCGTGGTAGAGGTTGGGTGTGATTCGTGCTCCTACGATTATTTAAGTTTATTGCCAAGTTTTACGAGAAAGACAATCATGCTATCCAATTCCTACACCCCCCGTTAGGCTACATTTGATTAAGATAGGTTAGGTTAGTTTAAACTAGGCCTACCGCTGCTAGCTAGGGGGTAGGTAATGTTACATTAGGTTTTGTTACGTTAAGTTGTTAGGCTAGTATGTTAGGTTAGGTTAGATGACTCTTCGTGTTCTTCCCCACCCAAAAACCCCAATTTCCCAGGCTCTCCCCCATTATTAATGGAGGGTTGAGGTGGGGCAGAAACTGGCAATTTCCAACAAAAATGAGGGTCACATTTGCTTAAAACACACTAAATTAATACTTAAGAGAAATAGAGAAATACAGTCGCCAAGTTAATGTCCATTCAAATAATGGACTCGACTCCCTCCCCCTCTCACACTACACTGCCGGCTCTTCCCTCTCTGAGAAATTTTTGGGGGAAAACCACTAAATTTTAATAAATAATACCTCAAACTAAAGTTAGGATAATACAATTGACATTGCTGGATTCCTTGTAAGACCAGGAATATTTTGAATATAAATGTCATATATTTTGCACAAAAGATAACATAGTTACCCAGAGAAAAAATTTTATCTAAAATTTGTATGTCTAATGCAAAATATATGATGTTTATATTCAAAATGATCACCAAATTATAAGAATTCCAGCAATGTAAATTATATTCTGACCGGGTAATTTGTATGAATTTTATGAGCTAAAACAAATATCTTCAGTTAATAAAAAAAAAAATAATCTTCACGACACTATCTGTCAATCAAAGTACCCCACCTTGCCTCCCCCCTCTTCCAACCGCGCGGTCAGTCCCAACCCTCCCCCCCACCCCCCACCAATCCTCCCTTCAAGAGATGTGGGGTGAAAAAAATAAATTTTAACATTTTGTATTAAATAATACCTCAGATTAAAGTTAGGATAATATAGTTGACATTGCTGGATTCCTTGTAAGACCAGGAATATTTTGAATATAAATGTCATATATTTTGCACAAAAGATAACATATTTACTCAGAAAACATTTTATCTAAAATTTGTATGTCTAATGCAAAATATATGATGTTTATATTCAAAATGATCATCAAATTATAAGAATTCCAGCAATGTAAATTATATTCTGACCGGGTAATTTGTATGAATTTTATGAGCTAAAACAAATATCTTCAGTTAATAAAAATAAAAAATATTCTTCACAGGGTAACAGATGGTCGGTCGGTCCCTCCCTCCCCCCCCACCCCCCACCAACCGTCCCAAGGAGATGTGTGGGAAAACCAGAATACTTAACTTTTTTGTAATAAATAATACCTCAAACTAAAGTTAGGATAATATAATTGACATTGCTGGATTCCTTGTAAGACCAGGAATATTTTGAATATAAATGTCATATATTTTGCACAAAAGATAACATAGTTACTCAGAGAAAAATTTTTATCTAAAATTTGTATGTCTAATGCAAAATATATGATGTTTATATTCAAAATGATCACCAAATTATAAGAATTCCAGCAATGTAAATTATATTCTGGCCGGGTAATTTGTATGAATTTTATGAGCTAAAACAGGCAGGGTGGCGGGTGGGGCAAATCTAAAAATAGCGTCTCGAGCCGGACACTCACCGCGTATATGTGGAAAAAATCCGTGTTAAGTGAAAGTTGAGCTCTGGCGAGGCACCGCGTATATGATAAAACGCGTTAAGTGAAACCGCGTTAGGCGGGGTAATACTGTATTTATTTTATATATACAGTCGGCCCTTAACATACGCGGGGGTTACGTAACAGAGATACCCGTGGATGTTAAAAATCCGCGATATGTGCTGCCCCCATAAAAACCTGGTCCCCCCATGTCCTTATTAACCGTACAGTGGGGTATGCTATAACGAACGTAATTGGTTCCAGAACCTCGTTCGTTATAGCATTCGTTCATTATAGGATTAATCCGTTCCAGGCCCCCAAATACAACCACTTAACACTGAAAAAATTCTGTGGAAAATGTAAAAAATACGGTACTTTATCTTACCTTAGTGTTGTTCAGCATGCAGGACAGGAGGGGGAGGGGGTAGGAGGGGGGAGGAGAGAATTATTGAGAAGAGGTGGAAGGAGAGGAGTCATCCTTCCTAGCCCTCTTTGGTGACTGTCTCACAGGCACTTTGTCTGTAGGTTCTTTTGTTACCTTTGTAAAGAAGGAATCCACGGTTGGCTGCTTCAACCTTGATTTCTGGACCTTCCAAAAGTAGTTCATAACATTGTCATTGAACACACTGATGGCCTTTTGCACAGAACCAACATCAGGATGATAATCCTCAGCAAGCTTGGACAGTTTGCTCCAGCAAAAGAACGCATCCTTGAGATCTTTGGCTGGAATGATGCGGCTTTCCTCCTTGTCCTCCTCCTCCCTTGACTCCTCAGAAGTTAAGCTCCGCTTCAGTGTCTCGTTTTCCTCTTTGTGAAGCTCAAGCAGCTCCTCAGTGGACAATTCCTTACTGTGCTCTTCCACCAACTCCTCAAAATCATCATCATCCACTTCCAGGCCCATGGAATTGCCCAGAGACACAATTTCATGAACAACAGCCTCTTCTTCTAACTCTTCGAAGCCTTCAAAGTCTCTTTGAAGGACACATTCAGGCCACAATGGCCTCCAAACAGCACAAAGACACCTCACAGTAACCTCTTTCCAGGCTGAGGTAATTAAAAATACAGCATCTGCTATATTGAAGTGACTCTTCCAAAATTCCTTCAAGCTAACATCACTGGAAGAAGTGGACGCAAAACGTTTTCTAAACAGTGCCTTTGTGTACAACTTCTTAAAGTTAGAAATTACCTGTTGATCCATGGGCTGGATGAGAGGTGTTGTGTTGGGTGGCAAGAAGTGCACAGTGATGAAGTTCAACTCCTCTGGCAATTCAACCATCAAATTAGGAGGGTGGGCTGGTGCATTGTCCATCACCAACAAAGCTTTCAGTGGAAGATTATTCTCCCTGAGGTATTCCCGAACACTGGGTCCAAACACCTCAATCACCCACTCAGAGAATAAATTCCTGGTCACCCAAGCCTTTGGGTTTGACCGCCACATAACACCAAGGTTGGTCTTCCTAGTGTTTTTTAAAGCTCTGGGGTTTTCTGCATGGTACACAAGGAGTGGCTTTATTTTGCAGTCACCAGAAGCATTAGCACAAAGAAGGAGGGTAAGCCTGTCTTTCATTGGCTTATGGCCAGGGACAGAAGTTTCCTCCTTGGTAATGTATGTACGGCGAGGCATTTTTTTCCAAAAAAGTCCAGTTTCATCACAGTTGAATACCTGCTGAGAAACAAAGCCTCCCTCTTTAATAATATTCAAAAAATGTCATGGTGTTCCTTAGCTGCTTCCTTATCGGCACTAGCAGCATCACCATGTCTCACAACACTATGTATTTTATTTCTCCTTCTGAAGCCAGTAAACCACCCCTTGGTACCCATAAACACTGGCACATCACTATCACTTGCACTGAGAGTCTTGGCTTTAAGGTCCTCAAACAATTGTCTGGCCTTCTCACAAATTGTAGCTTCACTAATGCTATAACCTGCCATTTCTTTCTCCTTTATCCACACTAAGAGTAAATTTTCCATCTCCTCAATCACATTACACCTTGCTTTGCTAAGTCTAGAGATTCCCTTAGCCACTTGCACTGTTTTAAACTCCTCTTTATTCTTTAAAATCGTACATATAGTCGATTTAGCCATCCCATACTCATCACTAAGTTTCGCAATGCTTGTTCCATCCTCACGTTTCTTTATGATTTCTTTCGTAGTTTCAAGAGTTATGAGCTTTCTCACTCGCTTTGGACGTTTCATTGTCACAATTGTACACTTGTAAAACAAAATATTTATACAAATAACTCTATTTCCACATCAAAAGACGAAATTTCAACAATAACAGTGGTGCACTGGCTACACAATGAGACA